ATCCCAAAAAAAACCCCACTATTTTGGTCACTAAGAAAGTTAGAGATGTTTGAACTATCAGATATAATTTAATGCATATCTAATATAGCTCCAACAATTTACAAATTGATTGGAGAAATCTTCTTCAAATTAGGTTTTCATTTAAATGAATTCAAGAGTTATAAGATTATGAATATAAAATTATTAAAAAAGAAGGAGAAAAATGAAAACAAGCTATTGTATATTTAATCTCAGGCGTTTGCCTTTTCTTTCTTTACAGCATAAAGGTTGTTATCAAAAACACCAATGAAATAAATGGGTTTTTGAGTTTGGGCTAAAAGTTGAAAAAAAAAAAAATGGTTTTGATGATTTGACTGGACTAGTGAAATTGGGTTGCTGCGTGGTGGTGGGCTATGTGCTAAAATTTATTTATTTTTTCAAATTATTTACTTATGGGAAACTTACAAAAATACCCTTAAAATTATGGATCTTTTGAAAATTCATATGAAGAATTTTTTGGAAGTAAAAGACACGGTTTAAAATTAAAAAGAGACACAATGTCACTTTTTAATAAAAATTGTCACTTTTTTTTTAAAAAAAAAAAAAAGTGACACAATGTCTCTTTTAAAAGTTTAGTATTACTTTTATATTAAAAAATGATATACAATCTCACTTTTATTAAAAAGTGATTTTATCACTAAAAAAGGTGATAGAAATTCCATGAAGATGACTGAAAAAAGTGACAAATATTCAAAAAAAATAGTGACAACGACTTAAAAAAGTGATAAAATTTTAAAAAAGTGACGAATCTGAAAAAGAGATACAATGTCACCTTCAGAAGTTTAGTGTCACTTTTATATTTTGTCACTAAAAATGTGATAAAAATTTCGACAAGCGAATGAAAAAGTGACAAACACTAAAAAAAATGACAAAAGTTCAAAAAAGTGACACAAATGTGACGAAGGTTAAAAAGGTGATACATTTCTCTCCACATCGACCATTTTGAAATACCCAGTTGCTCTTTTGATACATTTCTCTCCACCTCACATTGTTAAGCTTTTCCAGCAGTACTAACTTAACCTCATTTAAAAAAAAAACAATCAGAAAAACACGGAAACAATCAATTTTTTTTTTTTTTAGGAGAATAACAATACGTATACACTTGCACATACGGTACACAAAATCATCAAATCGAAATAAACAAACACAAGCAGAAAAAAATTTCCGTTTCCCAATATTGCAACTTGTTCACTTGAAAAACAAATTTCTCGTTTCCTAAGCAAGCCTAGTACCCAAACCAAGAACAATGTGAAAATTTTCTTAAATTAACTTGACAACAACTTCAAAAGAATTGGTTAGTCCTGTTTCAACCTTTTTAGTCGAAGTGATTGAAGCCCATATCCTGCAACCATAGAAACAAAAGTCACAATATTTCTCTTCAACACACAAATTGATCCAAGAAAACAAAAAGGATGTCACGAAAAAGAATGAAGTGCAGAATTTTACATCATCAGACTCTTCTTTTCTCTTCCTTCTTTGTTTCAGTAATAGCTGGGGCTGCAGTCCTTCTTTGTTTCAGTAATAGCTGGGGCAACAGCACTGCCTGCTGCAGCAGGTACAACTACAGCAACTGCACCACCGTCGGTAGGAACTGAAGCCAACTTCTCTCTTCCAACTGCAATAACCTCGGTGATATCTTTGTCCTCTAATTGAGACAATAGCAACAAATAATTTCTAAAATACATGGGCTATATAATTTAATAGAAATGGAAAAATCCAAACTACAGTATATGATTGAAGAAATAATAGAATTGCCTCATTTACCCATTAGAATTTGTGGGTGAAGATGGAGCCATTTCAGAGGACGATCACTTTGGCTGGTGAGAGTGTCGTAACAGAACGAGAGGTGCGGTGAAGCATACAAGGATCTTGAAAGAGGAGGAATTGATGAAATATAGGTTGAAGAAAGAAAATTTGAAGGTGATGTTATGAAAAATGGAGATTGGGGTACAGTGATTGAGGTTTTGGTGTGACTGGGATGGGATTTGTGGATGTGGATTATGATATGGAAGAAGAAGATGAAAGTATTAAATACGTGTGAGAATGTTTTAATTTTTTTAGGGTATAAATCTAATTTGTTCTTTTTTTAGAGTAATGGGCCTAATTTCCTCTTTACTTATTTGGCAATTAATTGTGGATATGGACTTGGACGGCCCAGTGCTGCCCTCTCCCATATCTGTCTCTGATGGGCTATCCGTTTTATACTAACAAATCCTTTTAGTGTGTCCTAGAAATAGTTGAAGGAATATAACCACTTCTCCATACTCCCATTAGGCATGTAGTCCACTATGAGGTCTTAACTTTGTAAAATGTGATATCAGATGATTCTCACTAAATTCGTATGACGAATGCTACTTAATACTTCACTTTCTGTGTCAAAGCTCTTCTCTTGCTTCTTCTAATTGCAAAATAAAAACTTCCACTGCAACAACTTATAACGAAAGTGTCCCTGCATATAATGACACAAAACTACCACTTCCCAGTATGTTCCTTCCACTGAAGGCGTCTGTTGCTTCTTGAAGTTCACTGTAAGAATCATTCTCTGTGCAAGATGTAATGAAAATTTATTGTGGGGTGGTGTTCAATTTTCGTCTTCTTATCATCAAAATTGTCACAATCACTGCAAGGATTACTAAAAGAAGCGAGGGAAGAATATATTCCATTAACCATAAGATATTCTTTAACTTTGATCTTTAATAATATTTTACAAGGTGGAAATTGTTGTTGAGTTCCACTGCAGAGAGAGCATGATTCATCATAGATGGTTGGGCACTAAAGTTTGCAAAATGTCCCCTCGAGGGATCTCTCCCACTATTCATCTATGAGACATATCAATATTGTAGCGGAAATCCCTAGAAAATCTTGATTCCGGACTTAGAAAACAATCAAACGAACACCGGTTTACTTCGACAAGACCCGAGACACTTTGGACTGTCCAAACTCTCTCAAACCCCACAAAGGAGAAGGGTGATGGTGTTAGCAATCCACAAAGGTATGGGAAGGAAGAAGAATATATCACAATGGTTGAATCTTACTCACAACGTCAAATGGCTTCCCTCTCTCTCGGTTGCCTCCCTTCCCTCAACTCTTCTCTCCATTGCTACAACACACACACACCCCAAAAACGGCTAGGAGATAAATACATATATATAGGTTAGTTTAGGTTACTCTAATTGGGCATAGGGTTCACTAAGTGGGCTACCAATTAACCTAAACTAATGGGCCAATATTCAACTCCATATTAATCACTAAATGGTCCAACTAACCAAATAATCATCCAACCCAAACCCGAACCATCCAAAAGTGTAGTTCATCTCCGAGTCGAGCAAAGTCCATGGTGTCGATAAATAACCCGACAACTGTTTTAAATCATCGCCCGGATTATTGGATATCAAAAAACCCAACAAATATATTGTAGAAAGCTGAATACCTATAATAGCATCTCCAATGATGTATAGTATAAAATTGGAGGTAAATTGGTATCTCCAAAATCACATTTATATCCTCACTTATATTATCTAAATTCAAATTTTGATTCAATGGAAAGATCTAAATCCACTTTTTGCCTCTTATGGATGTCTTTTTCACATTTTCTGCTGGAAAATACAATTTACATTTTCTTTGCATCTCTTCATTGGGGAAGGTTTTCGATTACTTTGAAGATTTGAATCAATTTAGATCTATTTACACTATAATTGGAGATGCTGTGATGAGTTTGAAACAATTCCAGTAAAAATATTGTAAGAAAGATCCATAGATTCCAAGCTTCTTATATTTTCCAAAGCTGAGGAATAGATCCTTGAAACTTAATAATGGTAATAATATTCCCACCACCTTTTTTTAAGTCCACCACATTTTAATTGCCTTAAGATTCCCAAGTTTCATTCATTGTCAAACTTTCTTCAATTTTTTTTTTTTTTTTTTATCATATCCTTACATGCAACCTTAATTTAACTAGCACATTTTACCTCTAATGATTGTTTTAGCCAAAAATTATGTTAAGAGGGATTAAAAGTTAGTTGTCCCTTGTATTCTTAAATACGGAAGTGTGACTGCATATTTATCCTTCATTTTAAAGCATGCAAAAAGAATTTTTGGATGCAAACTATTACGAGTGAAAAAGATGCGCTAATTAATATAATGTTGAGTGATAAGCGCATTTTTACATACTTATTCGATCCATAAAATATGACTAATTATTGATGAAATTGATTGAACATGGCTTAATTCTATGAAATTTTATTTTGTAGGACTATATTGATGGATGTGACGAAATTCAAGAGAAAAGATGCGAAAATGGTCAAAATGAAAGAAAACAAAAGTTCAGGGACTAAAGTGCATATAATCTAAAGTTGGTCCAAAGGACGAATCTAGAATGTGAGCACACTAAGTACCACTTCAGTGATAGTATGAGGCATTGGAAGAAGGAAAATGAAGATGAAGGACCAAGATGGAAAAGAATAAAAGTTCAAGGACCAAAATGTAAATAAGCCAAAAGATGATATAGGAGAAGAAAGAATGAGAAAAATAAGTCAAGATGCGAAAAGTGGAATTCGTGAACCAAAACACAATTTCTTGAAACATGCGGTGGCTTGGTGGTCTCCCGTGCCTAGGCTGGCTGTGTCCAGCAGAACCATTTAGTTTGTTGACAACCTTCAACTTTTGGATCTCCAAAGGTAAAGAGCCCCTTAAGTTGTTCCAGGAAAAGTTTAGTTCAAGAAGACTATCAAAGTTCCAAAAGTTTAAAGATATATTAGATTCCCATTTTTTAGATTCTAAGTGGAGTCTTCTTAAGAATTTAAATTGACCGAAGCATGTTTCAATAGTCCCTTAGAGCATATTGTCACTTAGATAATCACCAAAAAAAAAAAAAAAAAAGGCTCAGTTGGTATATCTCCATCCAGATTATTTATTCAATATATAAACGTAGAAGACGTCTTAATTTTTCAATTGTTCTTGAGATTGAATCTATCAACTAATTGCTATCTAAATATAAATCTTCCAAGCTGCTTAAGTATCCAATCTCAGCAGGAATAGCACCCTTAATGTGGCATCCAAATGCTTCAAAAACCTGAAGAGGAGTGGAGAAATTTCCAACAGATACTAGGAAAATACAACCTAGTTGATTCAAAGATACTTCAAAAAATTCAAAATATCAGCAATTTATTAATGAAGACAAAAATCCAAATTCCGAACTCTAAGATTCTCCAGTCAAAATAATAAGGCATTGGAGAAGCAAAAAAGTTTATAATCTCAAAAAAGCTTTGTGAAGCAGGATTTTAGACTGACAAGAAAAACGTAGGAAACTTGACGAATAGATGCTCATTCATATGACAAATGAACGTAAAGAGAGTGTACAAATGATTAATGAATGTCATTACAAATCACTTAACGAGGTTTAATTCTAGGATATAGCATATCACCATACAAACTATTTTGTCCAGAAGTAGTAAATTCTTGACCTGTTAATGAGATATCATATAAACCTGATTTTTCACTCAATGATCTCATATTTTCTTCTGCATTCCTGGTTCATTACAAGGATCTCTTGAAATTTTTCTTAATCCTTCCAACTCCATCGCCATTTCTTTCATTGTTGGCCTTTCATCATGTTTCAAGTTAAGGCATCTTGTCACTAACTCGACGACAGCTTGCAATTGTTCCAAATTAGCTTCCCTCAAAATCAGAGGTTCGAGAACTAAAAAAAACTTATTTTCTTTAATAGAGATTATGGAATGTATTGCCAAGTTTAGCTCCCCTTCAGATTTCGTAGGTGAAAGAGGTTTCTTCCCTGTCATAAGTTTGGCAAGAACCACCCCGAAACTATAAACCTCACTTTTCTTTGTTAATTGACTCGTTTGGAAGTACTCAGAATCTAAATAACCTATAGTACCTTGAACTAGTGTTGTTACTTGTGTTTGGTCTAAGGGCACCAATTTTGAAGCTCCAAAATCTGTTATTTTAGCAGTATAGATATTGTTTAACAATATGTTGCTCGACTTGACATCGCTATGAATAATAGGCATAGAAGCTGCTGAACGAAGATAGGCTAATACACCAGCAGCTTCAGCAGCAATTTTTAACCTATTCTCCCAAGAGAACCATGGCATTTCACCACTATTATGTATGTGGTGAAAAAGTGTACCGTTTGGAACGTATTCATACAACAAAATAGGAACTTTAGCCTCCAAACAACATCCCAAAAGTTTCACAACGTTTTGATGGTTAACTTGGGTAAGAATAATCACCTGTTGAAAACAAAAATTTAAATAAACAAATGTGTTTCCCTTCAATAGCTTAAATTTTAAACAAGGTAGTTCAATGTGGTTTCATAATAGACAGTAATTACATGTTCTGAGTCTTGCAGTGACACGACTTGTCCCGAATCACCTTAATGGACTAGACACGTGTCATGCGGCGATGGTAGATACCAACTAAACGCCGGACTCATCATCAAGGCAATTTTGAATTGCTTGACTGAAAAATATTTTTTTCAGAATTTTGACAATTTCCGCTGAAATACGAACTAAAACTACCTGAACAATAACAAATTTTCCTCAAATCAATACCTATAATATAAATAGGGAAAGCCAGTCCCTTAAAATACAAATTATTCAAATAAAATGCTAGCAAATCAACATTTACTTGCTTTACAACCAACAATCCTCAAATATACTAAAGATACCAAATATCTAATGAACTCATAATGAACTTTTCTAATTTAAACTGCATGTACCCCAAAAGAACACATAATGTATAATCTGATAAAGGATGTCATACAACCTACAAAGCGTGGCTCAATTCGGTGGTTTAACAGGCTCCAAAACTGCTCAATTCAGCTGCTATCTGATAAAGAAAATGGTGAAAAGATGTATGAGCTTATAGCTCAGTAAGTGGATAATTTGCAAATAAACATATTTTTCTTTTATGCATATATTCTGAAAATTCCAACTCTTTTAAAATTTTGAGAAATTCTGAAATCTGGTAACACTTTTAAAATCAAACATGAATACATCATAAAATTCTTTGTTCTTTATTCTAGATAAGTAACTATAATATGTAACGAATATAAATAATATGACATCCGTGAAAATCTATGAAATATTGCTGCTGATGATACTATAAGCTGAAAGCTTTAATTTGAGAACTGAATAGACTAAATTCTATAATCTGAAATCTGATAAGCTATAGAAATATTGTAAAATCACATCAAAAATGTACCCTATGAATAGCCTGACTCATGTACAGAGTAATCTCGATGTATAAGGCAAATTCATTCAAATATGATATTCTGATAATCTGGTAATCTGATAATCTAGACATACGTACGCAAAGCTGCCCCAAAGGCTAATCACCCTATTACACGGTCCAAAGCCTACATGTGTAAAAGAGTGGGTCCCAAAGACCTCTGATAATCTGGTCATACACTATGGAAACACATTCACAATAGTGCAGAACGGGTAAGATCACCATAACTAGTCATACACTGTGGAAACACATTCACACTAGTGCAGACTAGGGTAAAGTCACCTGGGTACTTTCTGATGGTTTTAAAAATAAATTTAAATATGCTAAAGTATTTAATACTGAAATAGTATGCCAATGAAATAATTTAACTGAATTGAATTCAACTTTAAAAATAACTGATTATAAATCCACTTTATTCTAAAAATCATGCTGTCAAATTAACTGTATGAAATAATAAATTTTCTAATCTAACATAAATTTAATAAATATTAATTCTTAAAAAATAAGTTTTATATCCATTCATAGATCTATGGATAGAAATCTAGCTAAATTGACGAATATTCCCTCTTTCTAAGCTTTTACGTCACTACCTAAAATAACGATATAATTACTCAAATTAAAACCTGACAATTAAATTAATACAAATTCATAACTTATCATATCAACTTCTATATGTATTTATTCTTATATCTCCAATTTCCCAACTTTTCGTCTCACTAATGATTTATCAACTAATCACCATTCATTACCAAATCCATTAAATCACTCGCATAATTTAGTCTACTACGTAATCACCATTCATTATGAAATCCCTTATATCACTTGTTTAAATTCAATACCTTATACAACCTTTATACATAATTTAGTCTACTACATAAACTTCAATAGTTGTTATATAACTTCATTCAAGCCCTTAAAATGTGAAAATCAAAGATTTGACAAAAACACCACTAAAATTCCAGAATATGGAACTGTAAAACTAGTTTCTGTACACTGAAAATTATCACCAAAACAATTGACAGAAATGGCACTTTTCTAGGCAAAATTACAAAATCAGCACCTGTGTAGGATTTTGTCCAAAAATTGCTTATAATACTTACTTAAAAATGGAGAAATCAACCTCAATTCCTTAATTTAAATGCTTGACATTATATAATCTCAAGAAAATCAAGAGAATAACTATCTATTTCATAAACCCATTTTCAAAGTTTCACTCTTTTTCAACACCCATCTTTCAATATGAATTTCTTTGATATATTCATGTTTAATAACTCAAATGTATGTCAATAACCTCTGATTCTTGCTAAACTTCGAATGTAGGCAAATTGTTCATAAATCCTAAAAATTTAATTAAAATATTTTCACTTACCTTTTGAGTAGGAGAAATTAAAAATTTATACTTGAAGAATAGACACTACATCTTTCCTTCTTCCTTCTTCCTCTTCTTCTTCTTCTTCTTTTTTCCCCCTCTTTTTCTTTCTCTTTGTCTTTGTTGGGCCTTCCCTCCACTTTGAGGGACTTGGCTTTTATTAGCCAATTTGGGCTCAAGCATTTAATGGTCCATTTATTTGGTCCAAGTTAAAAACATACTAATATAGATATGGAAATTGAGGAAAACGGGTTAGCACATTAACATTCCCAAAAGGGAAACTTCATTCATTCTGAAGCAGAGAGTTCGCGAGAGGAAAACCTACGACATTTCAGCTCTTCTTGCCAAAGGATGGAGGCTCGTTTGTAGTCCGATTTACTTGATATTTCAGTATGTGATTCTTGGCAAAGATACCGACATTTTGACCGGAGCTGATCGTCGAAATTCTTCTCCATTCCTCTGGGCTATACACACTTGTCTAGTGAGATTTTCTCCTTATTATTGTGTGTATTTATTTTGGATGATGTTGTTGTTGATATCCAAGAACTACATGTGTTCTTGATGTATTTGGTAGCCTCTAGAGTTTACTTTGGAGAGGGTTAAATTGTGTATCCCATTATTCATATAGTGGAAGGCTTTACTGGACTAGGTCCCGGGGTTTTACCTTCACGTTGAAGGGTTTCCCTAGTGAACAAATATTGGTGTTGTTATCTTTACATTTCTGCCAGTGTGTGTGAGTTGGAGCCGGTGTTATTTTACTGCCATTTTAATTCTACATAATAGGGGGATTGTGTAATTGTATTCCGCTGCGTGGTTGTGTTATTGGTTCAATCCCCAACAGTCTTCCTCTTCTTTCTCGGTTTTTCTAGTGCTTTCTGCCGTTTCACAGCTTCTCTGCCTGGTTTGTATGTATATATCTATGGATTAAATAGTAAATGGGTTTAAATGGCCAAGTTGGTGGGTTTTTGCAAAGTAAGCCCCTCATCTTCTATATAATATAACATTTAGTCCTCTACTTTCAATCATATATAAGTAAATCCCAAAATTAAATTTTATCCATCTTGAACCTTCAATTTTTATTACTGTAAAATAAACCTCAATAAAATAATTTGGTCAATTCAACACCCAATAAAATCATTTATTTCATTTAAGTCCCTAATTGACATGGATTTTGAATATTGAAGATATGGGTTGTAAATTGCAGAGTATGAAAATTGCGCACATTACACCTTTGATGAACACTGAATGTCGACTACACATCGCATGGGATGTGCTAACTTGAAGATAGAAATTTAAATAAATTAGTTTTTTTTTTTGTTTTTGGCAACGATGAAAGCTTTTAAACAAATAGTTCAATGATACCTCATTAATAAATGGCTCTATTTGTCCTTGATCCATTAGTCTCGATTTCTTGATTGCGACTAGACATTCATCGGATAGAACACCTTTGTAGACAATAGCATGGCCACCTCTACCAAGAATCCGATCTTCCACATACTTGTTAGTGGGTTTTTCAAGATTTTCAGCAGAAAATATTTTGGTGGATTCTACTCCATCCTCATTTGAAGAAATTAGCTGCTTTAAAAGCAGCCCACCAATTTGGTTGAAGAATCTCTCTCTCATTTTAACAAGCTTCCTTCTCTTGATGCTAAAATATAGCCATCTCATAGTAATGATGATCGACACAAAGGCTGACGCGACCCGTTTCAAATCACTTTAATGGATCCGACATGTGTCTTGCATCGATGGTAGATACTGACACGATCCGTCCCGAATCACCCTAGTGGACTTGAAACGTGACGTGCGCGATGATAGATATTGATTAGATGTCAAATCTATCACCAATGCTAACTATGAGTTATTTCAAAAAAAATGCAATAAAATCAAATGCTTATGTAAAACATAATGTGATGGGCCCAAAATATTTACTTCGTGCTTCATCAATATGAGTTATAATATTCAACATGTCGTGTGGCTCTCATTTGGAAATCATTAGGCTCTTCCACCTAAAAATGATCAATTTCCACCTGTAGGAAAAATATATGAGTTGATAGCTCAGTGAGTGGAGAAATTCAAAAATAGTTATACATTTTCAATTTTACATTTCTATCGAAAATGGAGTTCATATCATTTAATAATTCACAAGATAACATCATGTAATCATAACCAAAAGTGAAATATTCACATAAAGTCATAAAATATCATCTCAAAATTATGATATAGACAGCAGTTGATAACCATGCTATAATTTCATTACATCAAACGTGCTAAAAAATTCACCAAAATGTACCCTCTGACTGAAATATGTAATCCGCCTCTCGGGCTAAGAACTTTGGCCACGGGCCTTTGGCCCCCTTCGTGAACGAAAGCCGGTCTCAAAGACCCCTGGTAATCAATTCTAGAACACGGCCAAAGCCCCTGTGTGAACTATATGTACATGGTCGAGACCAATATCCGGTCAAGACCCTCCGTCTAGGATAGAACACGGCCATGGCCCCTCTATGAACTAGAAGAAGTACATAATCACGAGTACTTTTCTGGTCGATCTCAATATCACGTCTAACATACCAAACAAATCTCAATATCACATGTCTCATATACCAAGTCACAAACGTACAATAAATAATTCTTGAAATTTCACATGTATCATAATAAAAGAGATTTACATATTAATCATATAATCGAACACATAATTGCACATATTTCGATAATATACTTAATTTATAAATACCTAAAAACATTTATATTTTTCCACTCACAGTACTATGTTCGCAAAATCAAGCCAGTTGGTAAGCTGTTCTGATGTCAGTATCGTCGCCTGAAATACGATATAATTTTTAAATAAAGAATTAATTATTTTAAATAATTTCAATAATTAAATAGATGATACCCATACTTAATCATTTCACGTTTAAACGATTTTCATAGTCTAATTAATTACTAAAACTAGTTTTTCTTTCATCTTACTCAATTTCATAGTATATTATATTTAACCCCTTCAATAAAATTGAATTTAATCTAACAACTATAAAATCAAACATAACTTGACAATAAGTAACTTTTTACTTACCTTTCAAAATTGAGGAATTCAAGCCTAATAATGTAGACCACTTATTTTTTAACAACATAGGCGAACTTTCTTCTCTTTTTTCTTCCTTTCCGTTCCCTTTTTTTTCTTCCACTTTTTCCTTCATTTTTCTCCCTGCTCTCGTTTTCTATTAGTGTGTGTTGTGTGTGTGTTTGTGGGACAAAATGAATAGATTTTAAACATGGGTGGATTGATATAAATCAATCCACCGCCTCTCTCTCTTTTTTTGTTTTTTATTCTTTTTTTTCTTTTGTTTTGTATGACATGTTTGACTTTTCTTCTTCTTCTTCTGTTTTTTTTTTAATAACTAACTTAAGGTATTACAGATACCAGTTGAATGTCGGACACACCACTAAGGCAACCTTGACTTATTTGATTGAAAAATATCTTTAACAAAATTTTGATAGAGTTTCCTCTGAAACATGAACTAAAACCACCTGAACGATAACCAATTTTCCTCAAATCAATATGTACGACAGTCCCTCAAAATACAAACTATTCAAATAAAATACTAGCAAATCAACATTTACTTGCTTTACAACCAACAATTCTCAAATATACTAAGATATGAAATATCTAATAAGCCCGTAATTAACTTTTCTGAAGTAAGCTACATGTATCCGAAAAGAACACATAATGTATAATCTAATAAAGGATGTCATACAACCTATGATGCATGGCTCAATTCAATGGTTCGTCAGGCTGTAAAGTTGCTCAATTTGGATGCTATCTGTCTTATAAAGAAAAAAGTGAAAAAATATATGAGTTTAAAGCTCATTAAGTTGATAATTTGCAAATAAACATACTTTTTCTTATATTCTGAAAATTCTAACTCAAAACTTTGAGAAATTCTAAAATCTGATAACACTTGTAAAACTAAACATAATTTCATCATAAAATCATTTGTTCTTAATTCTAGATAAGCAACTGTAAAGTATAATGACATAAATAATCTGATATCCATGAAAATCTATGAAATATTGCTCCTGCTTAATACTATAAACTGAAAGCTTTATTCTGAAAACTGAATTAACTGAATTCTATAATCTGAAATCTTATAAGCTGAACTATAAATGGGGAAATGTAAGTTGAAGGCTAATAATCCACTATATACTTAAAATTCACATCAAAATATACCCCTGTAAATATCTACTAATGACCTGAAAGCTATAAAATCATATGCACATAAACCATTTGATCAATACTCTGTACACGGTCGTAGCCCCTCAGTGCATAAGATAGAAACAATATAATCATCCTTATACACGATTGTAGCCCCTTAGTGTATAATAGGTACCTTTACCCACAGTCGTAGCCTCTCAGTGGATAAGAGTTACCCTTACACACGTTTGTAGCCCCTCAATGTATATAAGTTAAATACAAGACTCTAGTACACGGTCGTAGCCCCTCAGTACACTAGAGTAAGATAATCACATCAATTATTTTTTGAAAATTTCAAAACAATCATGATCATTTACTAATTTCTCGAAAATAAGACATTTCTTGTAATTAGTGTGCTTCTATTAAAAAATATATATATTCTTTTTGGAAAAGTAGGTTCTCCATTCACATATCTATGGATAGAAATCTGGCTAAATTGACGAGTCTTTCCAAACTTTCACCTCACTACTTGAAATAATACCTCTCTAAATCAAATGAGAAATTGAAGAAATGGAGCACCAAGCTTGGAAATCCACTTCCTCCTTCTTCTTCTCTTTCTCTTCCTTTCTTTCTTCCCTTCTCTTCTTTTTCCTTTCTTCTTTTCCCTTTTCCCTTCTCTTTCTCGGTCTTTGTGCTTCACTACCCTTTTTTCTAGTATGTGTGTGTGTGTTTGTTTTCGGGAGATAAATTTGTTAAAGGTTGAATATAATGGCCCACTTACTAAAACTTGCCAAGGGAAGTCCCTCAACTCCATTTTAATATAATATTTAATCCTTCTAACTTCCCTTAATATAAATGTAAATTTCCAACTTTAAATTGTATCCAATCAAACCCTCATATATTGCCAATCATAAAATAAACCCCAATAAAATAATTTACTTCATTTTTGTCCCTTTTGACTTTGACTTTGACAATTCAACATTTGATTTTTGACTAGTAAAATTTGGGTTGTAACAAAGGCTGCCCTGAAACCTGAAAACATTACAATTCATCTCTTTTAGGAGTTTCTTATCCTATTCTTAAACAAAAGAGATATATAGCACTCGAGTATTGTTACTCTCTTATATAATTACACCAAAAAGACACAAACTAGCATTCTTCCAATGCAAATAAATAGTTACAGTATCTAAATTTGGCTTCCAATTTTGTCGATTCATGCTAGAACATGAAAAGGGTAAATAGCTAAATAATTAGAAAAAGAAATACAAAGTGAGAACTCGATTACCAGGAACTGAGAGCTCTCAGCACTGCAACCAAGGTCATCTTTTTTGCCATCGCCAAAGTATCCATGTTTGCAAGAACAGCTGAAGTTACCCAGCCTATTCTTATAAATCTCGTTTTCATCGCATGGATTGTTCTTACATTCATCAATGTCTGTCAAATGAACTGCAACATTAAGATTATTTATCATTATATGTTCAACAGAAACCAAAATCTAAGTCAACTATGTTGCAAGTTTTAGTCGTGTTTGATTTGTTCTACACTTCCATCTTCGAACTTTTTTTTTACCAAGAGTGCATAAATCACTTGAAATAATTTATTTTGGAGATGTAACTTTAGTTTTAAGTTATCTTGTATAGTTCTTTCCAGTCTAGATAACCAAATAATTTATAAAAGTTTGAGTTCTATTTGGCATTTTGTTGACAAATAAAAGATCTGTGGAATAGTGTTCAATCAATCAATGCAAATTATTTATGTTACATGTCTATTATCAAGGAACATAGGATTGACAAAGCACCTCTAGGGAGAGATTATATTTGCACCACAAATTTTATTTATCGTATCAAATTTTAATTTCACTTAAAGTTTTCAATCTTTGTTTATTATAGCACGTATGTCTCTAATTGTTATTCCTCAAAATCTTGTCTTTAATCTTTCATAAATTAGAATATTTCGACCTAGATAATAAGTCCTATCAAAATATTATGTTTTTATGCTTTGAAATGAGGAAAATATAATTTTTCGCATGTCAATTTATTGTTTTTTTAGATATATGGGCAAATAAGTAGTTTTCAGCTCTCCCAATGAATTTTTTAATGAAAACGGTTATTACCAAAAAAAAAATGAAGTACTAACTAATTTAAGGTTGAGGATAAGAATGCGATGAAAAAAAAATTGCAGAAAAAAGTGTTACAATGAATAAATATCGAAGACTTTCAATGCAATTAGTAATGTAACAAATAGAAGTTCTAGTGTAACTAGAAACCTGTCCACTTATACCCTTCTCCTGATTTCCCAAGAAAACAGAAAATTTCCAGCAATGTATATGTTAGAAAGTATTTATAAACAATTTAAATTATAAAAAGATAAATGAGTACTGAATAAGTGAATATTAGTCTTGAATTTCCAAAATGTGCGGATTAAAAATTGTGGGTGTGTATATAAACACGATCTTGAAATTAGTCAAAAAAAAAATAAAAAAATACATAAGGTTATTCTTTACTGTATATCGATTGAATGCATTTCACGAGTCCAACAATAACTAGAATGTTTGGCCATGTTTTATAACCGACATTTCTCAGCTGCTTTTCTCTGCCGTTCAAACTGAACATGGAAAAAATCCTCGAGTTTGACAAAATTTACCGAGGTGATTATCATATCTAATCAACAAAAAA